CTATTTCTTGCTTATCGTGCGACTCCTACAGAAAACACTAGGCGATCCCCAGCTGAATCAACTTTCGGTTGTACCCTCCGAACAAGGTTTCAACTACTGTTCCCTTTCCCCAGAGCAAGAATAGGAAGACAGCAGGAAATGTAAAATGAACAATCATCTCGGATTGAGGACCGCTTGTATAATGAGTCTGATCCGGTTTATACAAGACTTCCACATGAGTCTACATGGCACCCAGCTACAAACCTTTCATTTACTGGTAACACTACTATTGTTTGCAGACAATCCGACCACGTTCGACCTCACGTGACCGAAAGTCCCGAAATCGACGATAATCCACTCAGAACCGACCAACCGATTAGTTCTCCAAGTGACCCTTCACAAACCATAAATGTTCAACTAACAGAGTGTGCTCTACGCAGGTCTCAACGCCTCACAAAAACAGTTGAATACTATGGAGTAACAACGTACCACGTTATCTAAGAGACAGAAGGATACTACTTACGCATTAGTCCATCAGTTCCCATTGATCGTCAAATCACATGACAGACACTAATCAGTAGCCTTACCGACCGTTTGTCCGTGAGCCAGCTTGACCTAGTTTTAGGCCATCGTTTATTCGATTGATGTATTCATTAAATCGTTAACCCAAACACCAAGCTCTCCTGTGTTTGGTTACACGTCCCAGAAATACTGTGCGTTAGCATCGCAGTTGGAATTCGGTCTTAACACCCGAGAAAGGTTCTTCAAATTACAGATGAATTTGCCTGTACCTCAACGCTGTTGAAAGGTTTAAAATTAATGCTGTTAGACCGGATGACTTCCTTGTCTAATGCTCATGGCCCTATTTAACTTGCTCAAATAACATTTTCCACACTTCATACTGTTGCCCACATAGTTTTTTACTCCATGGCTTCTTAAATAAAGTCAGGCAATGTTCCTCGAATTTTTCTATCTTATATAAATAACACGGGGTCGCTTGACCGTGGCATTCTCATTCAACGTCATTCTGTTTGCGGTCTGAGGGTGGATGTAGTTAGTTAATGTATTTATTGATCAAACTTCACACAGGAGATAATTCACTTTTTTAGCTGTAATTCTTCCTTTCCCATAGTGATTAATTCCATGGCTCCTTGGGATGCAATTTTGTATGCGTTCTTTTTTCTCCACACGTAGATGACCTCCCAAGCTCTCCTGATCTGATCGCGTGCATCTACGCTGATAACATGGTAATTTGGTGTCCTTCTACTGGTGTTGACAGTTTCCGCCAACTAAAGGCTGGCGAAATCAGATTTACAGTTTGTCTGCGCCATCACCTCCGGTGCATGCTTTAATGTGTGCATATTCCTATTAACTTCACACCAAGCTGCTTCTAGCAGACGCGTCTTAGAAATCAGCTAGAACCTAATGGTAATAATCAAATCATTCCCGAGACTGACCCCTGCTCAAATCCCTCGGAGTTTCTTTGTGGTGTATCCTTTCGTAGAACAGACAAGTTGGCAGCATCTACAGTAGGGTTCGAAGACTGCATCTCTTTCCTTTCGAGACCCAACAAAATCACCGTTCAGGTTGTACTGATCTCTGGTCTAAAAGTGAACAACCTTATCATGCCGTCCCCATTCATTGCAATATTTTGGCTGTTGCAATAACATTACCCAATCTGACTTTGTTGATTTCATTATATGCGATCATTTTTGTGCCTGTGTTCGATCCACAAGCCATATTACGGCAATTGAAGACCATTGTCTGTAGACTGATCTCAATAAATTTGTCACAGTCACGTTCTGATTCCAACTTTTAGAATTCATTCTGTATATGCAGTCACAGATCGAAATAGTATCGACCGCATCCTAATAAGCCGGAAACGTGTGATTACAGACTTGAAAAATGACCCATCACATTAGTTCTATTTTCCTCGTACTGCATTCCAATATTTTTCACTTCTTGCTCGTTTTATCTGCATCTTTTGTCCACTGTACCTCTTTGAAACTGATACAAATGCACCTTGTGTGCGCAAAGCTCAAACTGATTTAGTACCCTTCCTGATTTCAGTTTTTCTCTCGATGATTTTCGCGTTCTACGAAACGAAATCTCGTACTGTACCGATAAATGAATAAACGCTGAATATCGTTTCAGCAACTGTAGTTGTACTTCCAAAAATGCCAACAAGCCTTTCATTCATTTCTCAATGTGTGCTTCTATCCTATTCTGAAGTTGTTTCACTCATCGCAGTCCTATACACCGACCAGGAGTTTTACACACTGTTCTCGTTCCACCGCGGAACTGTTGTAGACAATTCGCCCTGGGATTAACCAACGTATTAAACATTTCTCTAGCTTCTATCTGAAATCCAAGCTTGTTGGACATGAGACAGGGATTGTAAAAGCGCTTTCATAAAGGTTACCCACGGTAACCGAAACGTCGGCTTATTCTCGCCTGTACCGGCATCGCTGTTTTCACAATTACAAATTATATAAAACATCCCCTGGCGCATCGAATTTTCGATACACTCTGAACGTCGTTCGGATCTGATACTATGGCGGAAGCAAGCACTTACAGTGAATTAACTAGTTGAGTGGGAAGAAAGTATTCGAAGGTATATATTATGAAAGTGGTCATGAAATGCAGCGTTTTCTCCATCACGATACCCAATTCACAGCCTATCAACATACCGCGTTTTACTACTTATCAGTAATATACTACTAGTTCTGAATTATCCTTTCGAAACCATCTCACTCGGCACCATATCAAGGTTATCCCTAGCGTTCTGTCGCACATTTTACATCTACCCACTGTTAGAGAACCCATTTGCCCGTTCTTCTCTATTCGTATTTCACGGACATAGTTTATCTAGCTACCAAAAGTGGAGACCAGTGCTTGAACAAATTTCTTTTGGGCAAACACGGGTTGGGGTGGCGGCTTGTGGATCCGGATGCTTAGGGCTTCGGTTGTGGTTAAGATATGATGCGTCATCGGCCTAAAATCGAACCTTCAAAATCGGTCGAAAAACGCACTTACCACCTCCACTGAGTGATGTAACTGAACAAGGTGCGAACACGGCGAGTTCAAAACCAGATGGACGAACCTAAATGACCCTACAGAATTGTAATGGCCCGTTGATGAATCTATCGAAAACCAGTTTGTTTCGCCTACCGCAATTTGTTTTCCAGCTTTCGTAATTGCCCATGTCATAATTGTTCCTATCTTCAACCAAACCGGCTGGTAATCACGAACGCAATTGGATAAGCGCTTGGTCGGGCGGTCAATTTACCCAGTTCCACGGAACATGTAAATGAGTAGACACGGAATGAGGCTGTGAAATCTGACACTCCATCTTTCAGTCAGAAATGCGCAATCGGTTTAGATGTCCATACAGCTTTAACTTGTGCAGTGTGGACATTTTTGTTTACTGAACCTGAGAGCTTTCTTTCAATAACTTCAACCTGCGAGTCTCCCTTGAACAGCAATTGCACACCTATGAGCATAGTTCTAAGCAGCTTCTATTTCCGTTGGTCGTTATTCGCGTTCTAATATTGCATCATGCATGAATCGCTCTGGGTAGCCATTTTGTACAAAACGCTTCATCCGAATTGAAAATCACTATCGGTGGTGTCTCCGGTGCAAACATTTTCTTCGCTCTACTCACCAAACGGCAAATTAGATTTCTCTTCCGTTGAAGAGAAATGGAAATGAATATACTGTCCATTCCACGTTGCTCTCATATACATCGATAACTGGGCGGAGCTGTCTCCGCGGTGGCATATAAGTACGTCTAGAAACATTAGACTGTTGTCCTCTTCCTTCTCTAGGGTAAAATTCGCGTTCGTATGCTTATTTTTGAACTCCACAATCAGCCAATTGGTGTCCTGATTTGCATCTGCTATACATGAAGAATACATCGTCAACTTATTGCCTGTATAGAACGTACTGTTTGATATGGGACCCAGGAGGTTTGTGATGAAGTTTAGTCATAAAGGAGTCAGTGAACATTGGTTGCAAATAGAGCTGAGAAAAAGACTTTGATCATCAAACTCCCGTTTAAAGGAAATCCAGCAGCCGACAGGGTTACTGGAGTCCTGAGTGCCGAAGTTAAAGCCACGTTCAATGCTACCAAACTGAGATATGTGTTCTCGACATCACCCACCATTCGATGTCAGAACAAGGAAAAATTGCCTATATTGACCTCGTCAATGCTCATCTACCAATTCAAATGCACCTGTGGCATCACTTTATGTAGGTCGTACGACAAGGCAGCTATGCAGACGCATCAAGGAACATCAAACCGCTTGGATTAAAGACGGATGAATCGGAGATAATTCCAGTTCGATTGTTGCACATTCGGTTGAAACTGGACAAAGAGTGGATGCTAATTAGTGTTTCACCATTATCTATCTCGTCCCAAAACACAAATCCAAACCTGTTCGAGTTAAAACCCTAGCAACAACCGAGGCAATTATCATCCGCCTGTTGAAGTCAGTATTGTGTGCTCAAAACAGACCTGTTCAGGCACTTAAACTTCCATGGCCCAAAGCGGACAACATCACGCATGACCGTTATGATGGCCAAAATCAATTACCAACGCTTACGTAACCCGTTCTTATCTGAGCCAGAGAACTAGAAACAAACAATTCCCAACCCCACCCCTTTCCTATAAATCTTTGACCTCAAACGTTTGAGCCCAACAGAACACCTTCCCGTTATTTTCTTATATTGATGAGATTGTACTGGCATGAGAAGGAAATCACCGAAAACATATGTAAGTTAACATGTGCTGTGAAGGTACGTGGTAAACGGCTGAAAAAACTGCATCTTAGCAGCACAGTGTATTCTGACCTACCCGCTGCTCGTTCAAGATAAATTAACTTTCACTGACAGTCAAAAGCCAGCCTACTCATCTCTTAGCTTACGGTTACATCGAATTTCCTAGGCAGAAATTCATCAACGTGAACCAATATTGTGCTTCTGAGAATTCAAAAACAAGAATACGGTCAAATTGATTCAGTTTATTTTTTGAAAAGTTTACCCAACAGACTCGTTCCTTTCTGCACAACGCCACCAATTTGTGGGCAGTTTTGCAAAGAGCTTAAAGAAAGTTTGCTCAAAATGCACGTCTTCTTCGACTGTTTGCATCCGGCACACGCGTCGCACAAATTCGTTAGGGCTGTGAGATCTTTGTTGGCCAATTTGCCGAGTGTATTCGCATATTTGGCCACTGTGTTTCCGGTATCTGATAATTAAAAGGCAATAAAACAAAAAGGTGTACATTATTAATCAAACTTGCATAAGTACGCTACTGTCACAGATCACATTAACTGGTTCCCAAGCAAACTTCCGGGATATTTTCGTGATCTAGGACAGTCAAATTTACCGCCCGGTGCACGAAGAGAGAAAGGATGCTCTGTTCATTGGTCTAATGGGGACTGGTTGTGTTCAGCGTGGTTGTTTGTTTGATAGAGCCATTGTGATTGCATTGTATTCAATAACGCATGTTCGAACAGTGAAGCATATGAGTGCAGTTGGTGGCAATTCAAATCACTTACCACACTTTTGTTTTTGCAGAGGTTTGATAACACATTCGGATAGAATATCAGCCGTAAGCAGACCACACGATTTGAGACCATCCAGGGGGATATTGTTTGGAAGATTAGTCAGTGAATGAGCGGGGAGACAGAACAGTGCTGATAGCACAATGAGTCGCATGTAAGCTGCCTGAAAAGTGGAACCAGAGAAGAGAATATTTCGAAACAAATGGACACCTCACCTGCATCATCTTTGCGATCTGCACAAAATGAATGCTAATATTTTTCGGTACGCTTGATTACTTCTGTATTTATGTACGCTTATAGTAATATCCCTGTATATGTATAGACCGCATTACATTGTGTAAATGTGAAAATAATTTCACTGTAAATGTGTGTTTGTGTGAATCACAATTAGTCAATTTAGATACTGTCGTCACGATCTGTCACCTTTGGCACGAATTCAAATCCCATCTAGTTCAGCTGAACGTTATATGTATGCATCTGTTAAACAGAATGATTCACAGAACAATCAGAAGAGCATCAGAGCGACTTTGGCATGACCGAACACGATTTTCGGGATTGCTCTAGCCATAAACAGCTCTCGCTCTCTCTCTCTCTCACTCGTACCATGTCGCCACTGGGGAAGCATGAATGAGGGCAGATGAAAACTATAGACCTTGCCATCTATAGATTGCCAGAAGCAAACTACGGAGTGCCAATAACGGAGTACACACATTGCCGAGACCCATCATCAGGTCCGATCCGACAAACATTCGTGAGAAATCACGCATCGGTTAACGGGTTGTGCGGGAACTATGCTTTGCGCTCAATGTGAATCTATTCCGACTTAACTTCATGAGTGGCCAACTACTTTGATCTGTGTAGACAACTATGTGCACCATGTTGTTGACATGGCGTCGTTTTGTTATGCCTAGGTTTGGTTTTACAATCGGTTGATTGGAAAATATAGTCTGTGATAGTTTACAGGGAATGTCTCGGGGACTCGAAAATTTGGGTTAATTTTGTGATACCTTCAGGCTAATACCAGAACGGTACACCGAGCAATAGACCTTTTAAGTATCCATTCATCCCGAAACAACCTACTATTCATTGGGGAAGGTTTTCTAATCCAGTTACCAATATTCATTTCTAAATATCGTCGATTCAACAATTTGCCTGGTAGTATGAGAGAATGTACCTTCACGAGCGAACAATTGTACTCACTGATTCATTTTCTAGTCTGTAGTCATAGTCATCATGTAAGAATGTCATATTCGGTCGCTCAAAGGTCACACTGATCAGGAAGCTCGGTAAGTAATCGCGGCTTATGAAACTGGTCTTCAATGGACATGACTTGTCTGATCTCATTATAAAATCTTTGTGGTCGCCAGTGAGAGGAGCCTCTATTGCCTCAAATCTGTCTCCTGTAATCACAAGCTGAACTAAAGTTATAACTTAACTACTCATAAGTTACTGTCAGCGAAATGTGAATCATTAATCCGGCCTTGTAGTCTTGCGGCAAGTTCAGTCCGTGGCCTTCGTGGAAGATCTGATTTGGGAGACTTTTCCTTGGAGTTAACGGATAGTCAACTGTATTTCCGTTCTTTGCTGTCGGGTCGAAATTGAACTGACTGGCTATCAGTGAAGACGATACCTGAAAAAACATGAATTGACAATTCGTTTTGGCCCTGGTATGAGCTGTTTGGCGCAGTGATAACAAAATCGCGTTCCATGCGATGGGTGTGAAGGAGCCCGGACGGGACGGTGAATATGCACTACTGATGAGCTCTAATAAGAGCGAAACTCACGTCTAATGCTCTTCCATTGTATCTTTGACTGAATATACTCAGGTTTGTTGGTCACGGGGAAGTCTGGCAGATGTTCAGTTCAAATCAATATTAATTATCCCACACCACTACTCACAAGTAACTGATAATTAATAATCAGATCATTTCATGATAGTATACCTATAGTATACCTCTGTTACCTATGTTATCTATGGTTATCAGTTTCATTAACTATGGATGTACTATGTGAAATACTTAGGTGTCACACTTGAAAGTAACCTTCACTGGTCCTTACATACCCAAACCTTTGCTCGCAAGTCGAAAGTTCTCTCCTTTCATATGAGAAAACTGCGCCACTTCTGTTCTGACTTGTCGGTAATAAACGCTTTCGTTCAACAATGTGTCCTCTCTACACCCCTTTACTGCTCCCCTGTAATTTTCTCTCGTTTGCTGAAGGCTGATTTCAAGTTGCTGAGGCGTGGTCCCTCAATGATCAGCCGTGTATCCCAAGTTCCGTTATCTGTTCTGATTGGCAATAAAATGTAATGCCCATATTGATGCGTGCTTGAAGTTTGCTGACAATATCCTATCTGATTGCACCTATCCTCTACACATTGACCTGTGCGCATGTAAATCTCACCCCTCCAACCGTTCTAGGTACAAACTTATCCCGTCTGCACATATGCATATAGAAACTCTTTGGTACCCTATCGTGCCCGGATCCCAACCGACAAGTAAAGTGTTCGTTCTGATCTTTCTAATGCACTTAGTAATTAACTCATATTTTTGTACGTTTCACAACCCACTTTTTCACCCGTTTTTACCAGAATTGTAACATTGATCTATTTTTGGCTCAAAGCTTGTATATAACTCGCTAAAGCTTGAATACAATAAAATAGAATACAATAACATACCCCATATTGGTCAAGCGGCGAGGTAACTGTCTCACGACGGCAAAGGTGTCATGGGCAGCGCGATACTCGCTCACCTCTGAACGTGTGTCCTCCCGTTTAAATATTGTCCCATTCATTTGAAATACACGAGTGACCAAAGAATTGAGTAAATGTGATACACCATGACTTAAAGGGAGTTAAAATTTAAACAGGTCACAATAATAAGTTCGTAGACGATTCAGACCAGATTTTTCTCATTCGTGATGTGATATCTAATTCTTCGAATAAACCGCATTCAAGGGAAACGATGTGAGCAAAAATAAGTGTCAAATCTGTTTCCGGGTGGATGTGATATATTGACTTCTTTTCCACATTCAAATTTGCATATTATTCACTCGGTAATCTATTAGAATTGCTCCGATGAAAAATTAGTAATAAGATGCCTGAAAACATTCACTGGTGAATTGGACTTAACTATATTGACGGTATGTTGGTGATACACTACTTATTGCGAGCAACAAAACAGATGTTAGGATGTTATTTCATATGTTGTACTCTCTGCATCCTAACATGCATATAAACCGCCCAGTTCGGACTCAGAATTCCAGACCCGTTGCAAAGAAGACGTGCATTTTACCGCTGCGCCAAACAACTCTTAGCAGGGCCAAACGACATGTGTCAACAACATGGTGCACATAGTTGTCTACACAGATCCAAATAGTTCGCCCCACATGAAGTTCAGTTGGAAAAAAGCTATCGCATAGGTTCACATCAAAGGCCAA